CTGCAGCAGCGTGGTCAGCTGCGCCTTGCTTACGTGGCCTCTAGGGCCAACACTGCTGATATCTTTACCAAGGCACTTCAGCCTTGTGATCATCAGAGCTTTTGTACGATGCTAGGTTTTGTGCCTACTTGGCCTCACTTGCTCACTTCTTGACCTTGCTTGTACTATGATCTATCTATACCTGCACTTGCTTGTTTACCTTTATATATAATCCTGCATGTGAACTGGCCTTGTGGCCTTGAACTTGTGCTCGGAATGTGTGGTGACGTTGTGATCCACCCTGAGCTTGCCTTGCTTGACTGGTCTTGTGGCCCCTTGTTCTCCCCCATTTTTCCTATGGGGGTGTGTCAAACATTTATGCTATAGTCTTTCTAGGCTGTAGTGGGGTAGACAGTATGGGGTACAATTTTCTAGGGTTACATATTTGTACCCAAGTCATTTCCTAGTTCACACATTCCTCATTCTTTCACAACTGGTTTACGTACCCGTGATCGGCGCTTTTTGGCGTCGCCCCCGCGGTTTTAAAAGCTAGATTTTAGCGATCGAAAAACTTCGCGTCTAAACTGTCAAACTTGTATACTATAGTCTCTGTAGGCTGTAGTGGGGTAGCTCATATGCGGTACAACATTTTAGGGTTTCCTGCTTGTACTTCTCATGCTGCTCAATGCAATCATTCTTGCTTACTATCTTGACATGGTATCAGAGCAGTAGGTCCGTAGGACCTTTTTTTTTCGAGCCCACCATACTTAGCTTCCGACTGCAGTTACCGCATTACCCCACTATCCTGCATCGCACAACCTCAAGCATGCCCTGCCCTGCCCTGCGCCAGCGCCCTGCCCTGTGCCAGCGCCCTGCCCTGCGCCAGCGCCCTGACCTATGCCAGCGCCCTGCCCTGCGCCAGCGCCCTGCCCTGCGCCAACGCCCTGCCCTGCGCCAGTGCCCTGCCCTGCGCCAGCGCCCTGCCCTGCGCCGGCGCCCTGCCCTACACCAGCGCCCTGCCTTGCGTCTGCGCCCTGCCCTACGCCCGCGCTGCAGCCCGCGCGTCGCGCCCTACTGCAGCCCGCGTGTCGTGCGCTGCTACCCCGCGCGTCGCGCTCTGCAGCAGCCCGCGCGTTGCGTCCGCTGTCCGCGCGTCGCGGCCGCTACAGCCCCGCGCGTCGCGTTCGCTGCCCGCGAGTAGCGTCGCGCTGCAGCCCCGCGCGTCGCGGCCGCTGCCAGGGCGTCGCGCTGCAGCCACGCGCACTGCGGCTGCTGTCCTCGCGCAGCCCGCTGCGGGTTCGCATTGCCCGCTGCAGCCCCGCGCGCCGCGGCTTCCCCTGTTCGTCGCGGCGCCCCCTTCGCGCCGCCCCTGCCTGCCTGCCGCCGTCGCTCCTGCCTGACTGCCCTGGAGCGCCCTGCCACGGTTGCGACCCACCCTGCAGCAGCTGCTGCGGAACCTTCTACCGCAGTCCCTGCCCTGCCCTGCAGCAGCTGCCGAGGAGCCCTTCTCCAGCTGTCACGGCCGCGCCCTGCAGCTGCTACGCCCCCTTCCCACCACTGATGAGCACCTGCCCTACTCGGGCTTCCGAGTGCCTGCCTGCTTCGCCTGCCCGGACGCGCTACTGCTGCTACTTCTGCTATTGCTACTGCTACTGCTGCTACTGGCAGTGGCCAGATGCAGCTCCAGCGACGTCCACGTGAGTCCCTCATGCCCCAGCAGCTTCGTGAGTGGTACACTAGTTGGGGTTGTTGGGGTGGCCGCGCAGTTACTGCTGTTACTGCTGCTCTTGCTGCTACTGGCGGTGGCCAGATGCAGCTCCAGCAACGTCCGCGCGAGTCTCTCTCGCCCCAGCAGCTTCGTGAGTGGTACGCTCAGATTGGAGGGTCTCGGAGTACCGTTCGCTGCCCGTACGTCGTTCGTACTGGTGCTCGGACTGGTCAAGTTTGCGGGACTCTGAGTCACACACAGTCCCGCTGCTTCGCCCATCTGAGCGACGATTGGCGTACCGAGTTTGGTGACGAGGCTGAGCTCCCCGACTGGGTGAAGCTGCTTAGGCAAAGGGTAGATATATTTGCTCTTGACTATGATGCTATTCTCACTGCTATATATGCATTGCCTACTAGTGATGACCATGCCTGTTACCTGTGCGTACCGCCTGACCCAGGTATAGAGCCTGCTGCTCTAGGTGCTGGTGAGGCTGCTGCTCTAGGGGCTAGTGTGTCTCCTACTCTAGGTACAGGTGAGACTGCTGCTTTAGGTGCTAGTGAGTCTGCTCCCTCTGGTACTGCGCCTGTTGCGGCCTTGTACACCTTCACACTTGACTCTGGTGCTTCTCGCTCCTTCTTTCGCGACAGCACCACCCTCACGCCGCTCAGTCGGCCGGTTCCGGTCTCCCTGGCAGACCCCTCTGGGGGTCCAGTCCGTGCGACCTCCTCCACTGTCCTCCCTTGTCCTGCTGTCCCATCCGGCACACTGTCGGGCTTTACCTCCCCTCGTTCTCTATGAACTTGGTGGCGGATTCTGCGCTCTAGGACGCGGGTGTTCACCAGTTCACCCCTGCCTACGAGCGTGTGACACACTGCACGTGTGCTCAGACGGGTCGTCACCTGGCTACCTTCACTCGGCAGCCGGGGTCGGGCTTGTACACGCTGACCACTTCGTTCCCTCAGGTAGCTGCGTCTGAGTCTGCGTCCCCTTGGAGTAGCCGCCTTCGTCTGCATGTGCCTCTCACCTCACAGCAGCTGCGCGACTGGTACGGTCGCCGTCAGGGTCGCGCTTCTGGAGCTCGGGGCTCTACCGCTGGAGGTACTTCTGCTGGAGTCACTGGAGCTGGGAGTGGTGCTGGTCCCGGAGGTGCTCGTACTGGAGGTACTGGAGCTGCTGGGGCTGGAGGTGCTGAGCTTGAGGGTGCTACTGGTGGAGACCCTGAGTCTGGGGGTGCTGCTACTGGTGGAGCTAGTCCTGGACGAGCTAGCGCTGCGGGTTCTGGAGCTGCTGGTGGTGCTGCTGCTGCTGCTAGAGCTGTTGGTGGTGCTGCTGGAGTTGGAGCTGGCGCTGGGGGTGCTGGTGCCGTTCCTGCTGGTTCTGGGGGTGCTGAGCGGCCGTGGCCATACTTCGTTCCGCTCCTTGAGCAGGTACTTCGGCCCCCGTCTTCTCCTGGTCCTGCCCCCCTCCTTAGCGTGTCCACTGCCTGTCCAGTCGTCGTCACAGCTACAGCCTGCCTCCCCACTGCCTTCTCCGTCTCCTTACACTGGTCCGACTGGAGGTCTTGTCGAGCGTCGTGAGCCTGCGTCTCGTCCTGCGTCGCCTGTCCGTGTTGCTCGCACTGGTGGTCGTGGTTCGCGTCAGCGTTCTCCTCCTGTCCCCGGCACGCACCGGATGACTCTGCGTCCTTCCACTGCTCCGCAGCGTGTCCCTCTGCCGTCTGAATACCAAGTGTGGGGATATAGGATCGAGCTCAAAAAAGAGAGTGTGACTTGAATGATCACCTGGGTACAACACGAGGCTATATATAGGCTCGACACAAGGCCCAGTAACCTGGTGTTACGCGAAGGTTCCGCGGGTCGCGAAGCGTCCCCAACAGATCCTTCCCGAATTCGGTAGAAGGCAATTTGGTGGCAACCTAAAAGCCCAGAATTCGGCACACGCAACCTAGCTCGGTGCTATAACTATAATAGAACATAGGATAGCACCTAGCCTAGGAAATCAAGCAATTCATGCATGCATATAATTATCCTATGCTAGAAATAGCATAATAAAGTAAAGACAAGCAAGCATAGCTGGCACAAGCTGTCGTACTCTAACAATCTCGACAAAAGCCTCGATGAGTTACGACAAGGGCGTCGGAGGTGCTGACCTTATTGGCATCTGAGATCGAGCTTCTCGACAGAATCTTCACGAGGGGCTTTCAGATGGCAGATCCTGACAACTAGAGACGCTGCAGGAATCGAGGATTTTGCCACAACAACAAGACGACAGGAGCAATTTCTGGACTGCGGTGTCGAACTTATATGCTATAGTATTTCTGGGCTGTAGTGGGGTAGACAGTATGGGATACAACTTTCTAGGGTTGCATATTTGTACTGAACTCATTTCCTAGTTCATTCATTCCTCATTTCTTCACATGGTATCAGAGCAGGTTCCCTAGTGGGAACTTTTCCTAGGGCCCACCACTGAAAATCGAGCAATTTTTTTTTCCTGCCCTAAGATTGAGTCGCCCCTGACCGAGGCGCGCCCTGTGTGCCGCCCTCCCCTTAGTGGCCCGTCGCGCCGCCCTTAGCGCCCCCTCTCACGGCCCCTCGCGACCCCGTCGCCGCCCCTTAGCGGCCCGTCGCGGCGCTGCAGCCGCCTGTCGCGACCCCGTCGCCGCCCGTCGCGGCCCTGCAGCCGCCCTTCGCGCGCCCGCCGCCACCCTTCGCGGCCTCGTCGCCGCCCTCTCACGGCCCCATCGCCGCCCTTTCGCGGCCCCGTCGCCGCCCTTTCGCGGCCCCGTCGCCGCCCTCTCGCGGCCCCAGTGTCGCCCTCTTGCGGCCTCATCGCCGCCCTTCGCGGCCCCATCGCCGCCCTTTCGCGGCCCCGTCGCCACCCTCTTGCGGCCTCGTCGCCGCCCTTAGCGGCCCTGTCGCCGCCCCTTGCGGCCCCGTCGCCGCCCCTTTCGGCCCCTCCCCGGCCCCTTCACCGCCGTTGCCGCCGCCGCTCCTGCCCCAGCCCTGCCGCCGCCGCCGTCGGAGCTGCAGCCGCCACTGCCGTCGAGCCGCCGAGCCGCCAAGCAGCCGAGCCGCCGAGCCGCCGAACCGCCGAGCCGCCGAACCGCCGAGCCGCCTCCGCCGCCGTCGAGCCGCCACTACCGAGCCGCAGCCGCCAAGCCGCCGCCGAGCCGCCGCTGAGGTGCCGCCGCCGCCGAGCCGCTACTACCGCTGTCGAGCCGCCGCGGCCGCAGTTGCGGCCCTGTTTCTACCGGCACGAACCGGCCCTACCCACCCGGACTGGTAAGAGCACTCCCTGATAGACCGCTGCTGTCATGGCTACCCCCAGTGTCCTTACCTTTGATGCTGAGGGTCGTGCTGTTGACTTCGAGGTCTGGGTCGATGACCTGCAGCTTTTCCTACAGTACGATAGGGCAGATAGACTCTCCCTGTTCGATCTCACCTCTGGTGCCTCTCCTGCCCCGCCGGCTGATGCTGACAGCAGTGTTCGCTCACAGTGGGCCACACGCGATGCTGCTTCCCGTCTTGCTGTGCGTCGACACTTACCGACCGCTGAGCGTGCGCACTTTAGTCAGTACACGAGTGCTAAGACCTTCTACGACGCTGTAGTTGCACGCTACTCTTCCCCTGCCACTGCTGCTCTTAGCCGCCTCATACTGCCGTACCTGTTCCCTGACCTTGCTGCCTTTCCCACTGTCGCTGACCTCATTACGCACCTTCGCACTAGTGACACTCGCTACCGTGCTGCGCTTCCTGCTGAGTTCTGTGCCAAGAACCCTCCCCCCATATACATCACCCTCTATTACATAGTTACCCGGCTCCCTGACTCCCTTCGCTTAGTCAGGGACCACTTCCTCTCAGTTTGCCCCACCACACTCACCGTTGACCTCCTCGAGGAGCGCCTCCTGGCAGCAGAGAAGAGCATAGTTGCTGTAGGAGCCTCTCGTGGTGACTCTCGTACCCCCGTCTTTGAGGGGTGTTCCCCCTCCCCCCTCTTGCCCTCTGTTGCCTCTGCTGCTGCGGCCGACCTCGTTCGCCTCGAGTCGGTCGGAGCTGCGTCTGCCCCTAGCGGGAGACGCCGCACCGGCAAGGGCAAGGGGGGTAAGGGCGCTGGAGGAGCTGGCGGGGGGCAGTGGAGGTGGCGGTGGAGGCAGTGGAGGGGGTGGGGGTGGTGGTGGGAGTGGTGGCGCTGGTGGAGGTGTAGGTGGCAGCAGTGGAGGCGGAGGAGGCGGCGGCGGCGGCGGCGGTGGGAGCGGAGGAGGCGGAGGTGGCGGAGGCGGCCGAGGTGGCGGCGGCAGCGGTGGAGCTGGTCGCGGCTCTGCGCAGAGGAGTGGCTCCGGTGGTGGTCAGCGCCAGCAGCATCAGCGCACTCGTGAGACCCCGTCCCCCCAGCAGCTTCGTGAGTGGTACGCCGGGCGTCAGCGGGGTGGGTGTGCTGGTCCCTGTACCTACGTCCTCCGTACCAGCGACCGCGCTGGTGAGCAGTGCAGGGGCTTGCACTCCACCCAGCGCTGCTTCGACCGCCTGACGGACGCTTGGGGTCACCAGTTCCCTGACGCCAGTGAGTTCCCTCGCTAGGGAGAGCTGTCTAGGGCGGGGGTTGCTATATTTGATCTTGACTATGATGCTATTCTTGCTGCCATGTATGCTGTGTCTACTAGTGATGAGGGTGACTGTTACTTGTGTGTTCCGCCTGACTCGGGCATTGGGACTGCTGCTCTAGGTGCTGGTGAGGCTGCTCCTCTAGGTGCTGGTGAGGCTGCTGCTCAAGGTGCTCATGAGTATGCTGCCCCAGGTGCTGGTGAGTCTGCTCTCTCAGGTACCACGTCGGCTCAGGCCTCCCACACCTTCACCCTTGACTCGGGTGCTTCCCGCTCCTTCTTTCGAGACCGCACCACACTCACGCCGCTTAGTCGGCCAGTGGCGGTCTCCTTTGCAGACCCCTCAGGGGGTCCTGTCCTTGCCCACTTCTCCACTGTCTTACCATGTCCGGCAGCCCCTTTTGGCTCCCTGTCAGGTCTTTACCTCCCCTCGTTCTACACGAACCTGGTGAGTGGTGCAGATCTACAGGATGGGGGGATTGACCAGTTCACTCCTGCGAGTCAGCGAGTGACCCACTGCACGTGTGCTCGGACGGGCCGACACTTGGCCACGTTTACCCGTCGACCGGGGTCGAGCCTGTACACACTGACTACTGGTCCTCCTCAGGCTACTGCGTCTGGTCAGGTAGCTGCGTCAGGTCAGGCGTCTGCTGCGGCGTCCAGGTCTGGTCCTGAGTCTGGCCCCTGCTCGTGTCGTCTCCTGTCTCACCAGACTCTCCTCTGGCACCACCGCCTTGGTCACCCCTCCCTGCCTCGTCTCCAAGGCATGGCCTCCCGTTTCCTTGTCTCTGGTCTTCCCCGGTCCCTCCCTCCTCTTCCTCTAGGGCCTGCCCCTACCTGCGTTCCCTGCGTCGAGGGGCGGCAGCGCGCTGCTCCTCACTTCTCCGAGTTTACTCCGACAGAGGCTCCGCTGCAGACGCTTCACATGGACGTGTGGGGCCCGGCCCGCGTCCGTGGACAGGGTCACGAGCGTTGCTTCCTGCTGGTGGTTAACGACTACTCACGTTACACCACAGTCTTTGGCACGGACGTCCTTGAGGACAGGCAGGAGGAGTTCCAGTGCTTTGCGGCTGCTTCACCCCATCTCGTGTCCATGCTACTTGCCCCTGAGGGAGACCCGGATGCACCAGACATCCCGACTCCGCGCTCTTACGCGGAGGCGATAGAGGGTCCCTACTCCTCTCAGTGGCAGGCAGCCATGGACGCAGAGATGGCGTCTTGGAAGTCCACAGGCACCTACGTGGACGAGGTTCCCCCACCTGGGGCGAACATCGTCAGTGGCATGTGGATTTTCAAGGTGAAGCGGCCGCCTGGTTCTCCACCTGTCTTCAAGGCGCGTTACGTGGCTCGAGGGAGTTGACTACTTTCAGACCTTCTCTCCCACCCCGAAGATGACCACTCTTTGGGTGCTGCTGCACATAGCCACTCAGTGTGACTACGAGCTTCACTCTCTTGACTTCAGCACTGCGTTCCTACAGGGCAGCCTGCACGACGAGATCTGGTTGCGCCGCCCACCTGGCTTCACTGGGTCTTTCCCTCTTGGCACCCAGTGGAGCCTCCGGTGGCCAGTCTACGGTCTCCGCCAGGCACCTTGTGAGTGGCACGACACACTGAGGACTACACTAGCGGCTCTTGGGTTTGCTCCTTCTACTGCCGACCCGTCGTTGTTTCTGCGCACCGACACCTCTTTGCCGCCGTTCTACATCCTCGTGTACGTCGACGACTTAGTTTTTGCCACAGCTGACACTGCTGGACTCGCCCACGTGAAGTCTGAGCTGCAGAAGAGACACACGTGCACACACCTGGGTGAATTGCGCAGCTACCTTGGCTAACAGATCACCCGGGATAGAGCACAGCGCACCATTACCCTGACTAAGTCACACATGGTGCAGCAGGTCCTTCAGCGCTTCGGCTTCACGTACTCCTCGTCTCAGGCCACTCCTCTGTCTACTCGCCATCGCTCTCAGCTCTGCCTTCGGATGAGTCCGTAGAGCCGAGTGGCCCGTACCCAGAGCTTGTTGGCTGCCTCATGTACCTGATGACCTGCACACGACCTGACCTTGCATACCCTCTTAGCATTCTGGCACGCTATGTTGCTCCTGGGAGACAACTCCCTGAGCACATGGCTGCAGCGAAGAGGGTGTTGCGCTACTTGTGCAGTACGTCGGGCATGGGGCTAGTGCTTGGAGGGCGGAGTCCAGTGGTCCTCACTGGTCACGCAGACGCGTCTTGGGTTGACGACCTGGCTATGCAGCAGTCGTCACGGGGTTACACCTTCAGCCTTGGTTCCGGCTCTGTTTCGTGGCGGTCTACCCGCTCGTCTTCTGTTCTCAGCTCCAGCTGTGAGGCTGAGATCTACGCAGGGGCCATGGCTGCACAGGAGTTACGCTGGCTCACCTACCTGCTGACCGACCTCGGAGTGCCGCCTCATTCTCCTCCAGTTCTGTACGTAGACAACAAGGCCATGCTGGCCTTGTGTCGTGAGCACAGACTGGAGCACAGAACGAAGCACATTGCTCTTCGCTACTTCCTTGCTCGTGAGCTGCAGCAGCGTGGTCAGCTGCGACTTGCTTACGTGGCCTCTCAGGCCAACACTGCTGATATCTTCACCAAGGCACTCGTGCCTTGTGATCATCAGCGCTTCTGTACTCTGTTAGGTCTTGTACCTACCTTGCCTCACTTGCTCGCTTGACCTTAATTGTACTTTGACCTATATATACTTGCACTTGCATGTTTAGCTTTATATACATATTCCTGCATGTGAACTGGCCTTGTGGCCCTTGAACTTGTGCTCAGAATGTGTCTTGACGTTGTGATCCAACCTGAGCTTGCTGTGTTTTGCTTTACTGGTCTTGTGACCCCTTGTTCTCCCCCACTTTGCCTATGGGGGTGTGTCAAACTTACATGCTATAGTCTTTCTAGGCTGTAGTGGGGTAGACAGTATGGGGTACAACTTTCTACGTTTGCATATTTGTACCCAACTCATTTCCTAGTTCATTCATTCCTCATTTCTTCACAAGCGGAAGGTGAAAGCTGGTGATACTGCATCGAATCGACTGATTTGATGCTGCAGCAGCAGTCGCGACTACAAGACAAGCAGATTTTCTTCGAAGAGTTTATTTTGACGGGTCGAATTCGAGTCCCAGCGCCCAACAATTTTACCTGCTCAAGGGACTTCGACGCAGTTTACCCTTGGGGGAGTTACGTGTGAAAAAATAACGAGGAATGAAAATGACTAAAGCAAAGTGGGTACGAGTAGGAAACCTAGAAGTTGTGTACCCGATAGTATCTACCCCACTATAGCCTACAAACAACAAACCATATATGTTTTGACACACCCCCATAGGGAAAGTGGGGAGAACAAAGGGTCACAAGACCAGTTAAGAGGAGCAAAGCAAGCTCAGGGTGGATCACAACGTCACCACGCATTCTAAGCACAAGCAAGCTGCCAAAAGGCCAGTTCACATACATGTGTATAAATCAAGGTGAACAAGCAAGACAGTGATCACAACCTAGCAAGAGAAAGCAAGCAAGAATATATAGAGATCACAGTACAAGTTAAGTCAAGAAGTGAGCAAGTGAGGTAAAGTGGGAACAAGCCCTAAAACAGTGCAAAACCACTGATGATCACAAGGCTGAAGTGCCTTGGTGAAGATATCAGCAGTGTTGGCCTACGAGGCCATGTAGACAAGACGAAGCTGACCACGCTGCTGCAACTCTCGAGCAAGGAATTAGCGAAGAACGATGTGCTTCGTTTTGTGCTCCAATCTCTGCTCGCGACACAAGACGAAGCGGAGCCAAGGCTGAAGGTGTAACCCTGCGACGACCGCTGAGTAGCCAAGTCGTCAACCCAAGAAGCGCCTTCGTGACCAGTGAGAACAACTGGACCCCGTCCTTCAAGCACGAGCCCCATACCCGATGTACTGCACAAGTAGCGCATCACCCTCTTAGCTGTCTTCCAGTGCTCTAGTCGGTGTCTCCCGGGCGCAACGTAGCGTGCTAGGATGCTAAGAGGGTAAGCAAGGTCAGGACGAGTGCAGGTCATCAGGTACATGAGGCAGCCCACAAGCTCTAGATACGGGCCACTCGGCTCTACGGACGCAACCGAAGGCAGAGCTGAGAGCGAGTGACCGGTAGGCAGAGGAGTGGTCTGCGGCGAGGAGTACTGGAAGTCGAAGCGCTGAAGGACCTGCTGCACCATGTGTGACTGAGTCAGAGTGATGGTGCGGCGTGCTCTGTCCCGAGTGATCTGCAAGCCAAGATAGCTGCGCAGCTCACCCAGGTCAGTACACGTGTGTCTCTTTTGCAGCTCCGACTTCACTAGAGTCAGTGTCAGCAGTGGCAAAAACCAAATCGACGTACACGAGGATGTAGAACGGCAGCAGCGAAGTGTCGGTGCGTAGAAACAACGACGGGTCAGCAGTAGAAGGAGCAAACCCAAGAGCCGCCAGTGTAGTCCTCGGTGTGTTGTGCCACTCACGAGGTGCCTCGCGGAGACCGTATACTGGCCACCGGAGGCTCCACTGGGTACCAGGAGGAAAGACCCAGTGAAGCCAGGTGGGCGGCGCAGCCATATCTCCTCATGCAGGCTGCCCTGAAGGAAGGCTGTGCTGAAGTCAAGAGAGTGAAGCTCGTAGTCACGGTGAGCAGCGACGTGCAGCAGTACCCGAGTGGTCATCTGTGTGGGAGAGAAGGTCTGAAATAAGTCAGCTCCTTGTCACTGACTGAAGCCACGAGCCACGTAACGCGCCTTGAAGACAGGCGGAGAACCCGGC